ACATTTTTTTTTTAGTTGTTTCGGCGGACACAACATCTTTGTTTGTATGTGGTGCTGAGGATCGAACCCAGGCCGCATGCATACCAGGCGAGCAGGCTACCGCTTGAGCCACATCCCCAGCCCTAGGCAGAACTTTTAAGTCAGCTATTAAAAACTATGTTCAAAGAACTAAAGGAAACTATGTGTAAAGATTTAAAAAAATAATGAGAATAGTATCTCACAAAATAAAAAAAATTAATAGTTTTAAATCATTTTTTTAAAGGACCAAACAGAAATTCTGGAATTGAAAACTACAGTAACTGAAATGACAAATTCATCAGAGGGGCTTAACATCAGATTTAAAAGATTGAAGAAATAATCAGCAAAATTTGAAGGTAAATCAACTGAGATAATTCAGTCTAAAAAAAACCAGAAAGAAATAATACAGAAAGATGAAAACTCAAAGGCTTGTATGACACCATTATAAGTATAATAGAGATCTAATAATAGAAACAGGAGAGGGAGGTGGGGAGGAAGGGAGGAAAGGATGAAACAATATTTCAAGAAATAATGGCTTATCAAATTTTGTTTTAAAAAAATCCAAGAAACTCAATAAACTCTAAGTATAATAAATACAAAAAGAGCCAAACTTTAGTTTGTTTGTGCTGCTATAACAAAATACCAGAGACTAGATAATTTACAAGTAATAGAAATTTATTGCTCACAGTTCTGGAGGCTGGAAGTCCAAGGTTCAGTGTCTGCTAAGAACCCAGTCTTCTCTTCTCTGTTGCTGCCTCCTCCAGGGGCAATGAACACTGTATACTTACATGGTAGAAAGAGAAAGGGCAAGAAGGCTTTTCCTTCAACCTTGAGTTCTTTTATAAGGAGGTTAATCTCATTCTTGATGGTGGAGCCTGCTTGGTTTAATCACTTCCCAAAGGCCACATCTTTTAATATTGTTGCATTGATATCAAAAGTTTGGTCCTTGTCTTCATGCTGATCTAACAATGGGAATGAGGTTCTGAGAAAAAGGAAAAATGTTTTATTTATTGATTTGCTAGAAAATGAGATAACTCAATGAACTGCTACAACTCTACCTGCCAGGGGGGAAGAGAGGGCTTTGAAAAAAAAGGAATATAAGTGCTATTCTCCAGGTGTGCTGATCAGAAGATATACTTCAAATCCAGATGGTAGCCTTGTGGTTAAGGGGGTATATTTATTATGGTATTCCACAGGTATAGATGTAGATATAAGAAAGAAATTGACATGAAAATATTAAGGAAAACCACATAATTAGTTGGGAGTAAAGGGCAGAGCACTGAGTGATAAAGTCATAGAAGAAAGGACTAGAACAGAAGGCACCTAAAAGAAAACAGCATGAGGATGGATTTGTGGCCCAGTGATAGAACTCTTGCCTGGCATGTGTGAGGCCCTGGGTTCAATCCTCAACACTGCATATAAATAAATACATATATACATAAAAATAAAAATTTAAAAAGATCCATTGACAATTAAATAATAAAAAAACAAAACAGCATGTGTGAAATAATTCCATATATGCATGCATGTGTACATAATGAAATGCATGAAATGCCATCACCAAAACATTAACAGTCACCCTTTCAATATAGGGAGGTTTATTCCCTTTCTTATTATTTTATGTATTTTTGTGATAAGCATGCAGTTTATGTACAAAGAATGGTTATTTATCTAAAAAATCTGTGTGGCCTAATTGCCTTGGGCGATGAAGATGAGTCAGAAACATACACTGCTTGCGGGCCCTGTGAGTTATTTGGAAGACGGGAAGTTACAGCAGCCTGTAACATACAGCTGCATGTAGCAGGGGCTATAAAAGGTACAGAATGCTAGGAAAGAGACAATAATTGATTTCACAGACTGGACAAATCTGGAAGAACACTATTAAAGGAGAAAGCATGTATTTGAACCTTGAAGGCTGGGATGAGATATGGGTATGAGAAATCCAGGATAAGGTAACAGAATGAGCAAAATAAAGAGATATTAAAAGCCCAGGTAATACTCAAACAATGACAATTGGCTCAGTTTGAAATAACCAGACCAAAGATATCTATCGAGTAGACAAAAGATCACAAAGATGGGCTGGTTTCCAACTGTGAAAGTTTAAGATTTGTTATGGTTTAGATGTGGTGTCCCCCAAAAGCTCACATGTGAGACAATGCAAGAAAGTTCAGAGAAGAAATGTTTGGGTTTTGAGAGCCTTCACTCAATCAGTGATTTAATCCCCTGATAGGGGTTAACTGAGTGGTAGGGTGTGGCCAGAGGAGGAGGGAATTGTGGTGTGGCTTTGGTCTATATATTTGTATCCGTCCAGTGGAGTCTTTCTCTGCTTCTTGATCGCCATGGTATGAGGGGCTTCCCTCTGCCAGACACCCCACCATGATGTTCACCATGATGTTCATGATGTTATATTCTCCAGCTCCATCTATTTACCTGCAAATGCCATGATTTTATCCTCTTTTAAGGATGAGTAATGTTCCATTGTGTATATATACCAACGTTTCCTATCCATTCATCTATTGAAGGGCATCTAGTTTGGTTCCACAGTTTAGCTATTGTGAATTGTGCTACTATAAACATTGATATAACTGTGTCCCTGTAGGATGCTGTTTTTAAGTCCTTTGGGTATAAAGGAGGAGTGGGATAGTTGGGTCAAGTGGTGGTTCCATTCCAAGTTTTCCAAGGAATCACCATACTGCTTTCCATAATGACTGCACCAATTTGCAGTCCTACCAGCAATGTAAGAGTGTGCATTTTCCCCCACATCCTCGCCAACATTTATTGTTTGTATTTTTGATAGCTGTCATTTGACTGGAATGAGATGAAATCTTAGAGTAGTTTTGATTTGGATTTCTCTGCTAGAGATGTTGGACATTTTTCATACATTTGTTGATTGATTGTATTTCCTCTTCTGAGAAGTGTCTATTTAGTTCCTTGACCCATTTATTGGTTGGGTTATTTGGTTTTTGGTGTTAAGGTTTTTGAGTGCTTTATAATCCTAGATATTAGTGCTCTATCTGATGTGCTTGTGGTAAAGATTTGCTCCCATTCTGTAGCCTCTCTGTTCACCTCACTGATTGTTTCTTTGCTGAGAAGAAGCTTTTTATTTTGAATCCATCCAATTTATTGATTCTTGTTTTAATTCTTGTGATATAGGAGTCTTATTAAGGAAGTTGGGGCCTAATCTGACATGATGGAGATTTGGGTTTACTTTTTCTTCCATTAGGTGCAAGATCTCTGGTTTAATTCCTAGATCCTTGATCCACTTTGAGTTGAGTTTTGTGCATGGTGAAAGAGAGGTTTAATTTCATTTTGTTATTTGTGGATTTCCAGTTTTGCAAGCACCATTTGTTGAAGAGGCTATCTTTTCTCCAATGTACATTTTTGGCACCTTTGTCTAATATAAGATAACTGTAGTTATGTGGGTTAGTCTCTGTGTCTTCTATTCTGTACCATTAGTCTACAGGTCTATTTTGGTGCCAATACCATGCTGTTTTTGTTACTGTTGCTCTGTAATATAATATAAGTCTGGAATATAATGCCACAAGCTTCACACTTCTTACTAAGGATTGCTTTGGCTATTCTGGGCCTCTTATTTTTCCAGATGAATTTCATGATTGCTTTTTCTATTTCTATGAGGAATGTCATTGGGATTTTGATTGAGATTGCACTGAATCTGTATAATGCTTTTGGTAGTATGGTCCTTTTTATAATATTAATATTGCCTATCCAAGAACAAGGTAGATCTTTCCATATTCTGAGGTCTTCTTTAAGTAGTTTTCATTGTAGAGGTCTTTCATCTCTTTCATTTATTCCCAAGTGTGTTTTTTTTTTTTTTGAGGCTATTGTAAATGGGGTGTTTTTTCTAGTTTCTCTTTCCAGACACATTTTTGAGGTATATATAGGTGGAAGATGAAAATATTCAGTGCCTGACAACAGAGCTGTTGGGGAATACTGCAATCTGGAATGAGAAGATTCTAATATCTTACAGAACACAGAGGGTGCAATGAGAGTACCAGGCTAAGAGCCTGGAGGAATTCTGAGATAAATCAAAGTTCTACAGACATCAGAAAAGCAAATTCTTAATCTTGAACCACAGAACCAAAGCTCTGGTTCTGAACTCTGAAGTGACCCCTGGCTGAGAAAGAAGAACCCAGAAGCCTTCTCAATTGGAGCAACCCCCAAGGCGGAGGCTTCTAGAGACCTTAAGTGAAAGGATCTGGCCCTGTACAAAGTGAGATCTGGAAACCTGGGAAACCATCCCCCATTCCCTGCCCCTCAGAACATGTATGTCATACGCGCACACACACACACACACAATATATATATATATATATATATACTTACATATACTTTTTTGTGTGTATATAATTTATATATATATACATATATACTTGTGTGTATATTTATTTAATTCATGTATTTTCATTCACATATATACATTTATGTATCGATTTATATTTAATTCATATACATATTTGTGTGCGCGCACGTGTATACACATATACACACAAAACCAAAAAATGGGTAACTCCAGAAATAAAAATGAATATTGGGGTGGGATCCCTCTAGCCTCACTACTGGGGCACCTGTGGGAGCTTAAGGCACCACGGCCCAGGGCCAGCTCCTAGGTAGCGGCTGGCGCAAAGCCTGGGCAGGGGTGCGGAACGGAAGACGCCCACCGAGAGGTGCTGGGTGCC